TAAAGCTTTCGTGACTGCAGGGATTCATTCTTGGTTCTTTCGGTAAAGTCACGTAGAAGGGAAATAATAAATTAATAAAAATAAAACATAATAAATAATTCTCACGACGTTTCGGCCACAACGCAAGCAGCCGTCCTCAGGTGAAGAACAGGTCTGTCGGAAAGACAGCGTTTGAATGAACACCACCAGGCTTGGCAGCGTATATTTAAGCTGGGTTGGAGGGGGAAGAGCGCCTTGACAAAGACATTTGCATATCAAGAGGAATTTAGCATATTTATGGGAAATGCAGATATGGGATTAGTCACTACTTGTGGAATGCGTAGGAGGTGGGCGGGGGGTTTCAAAGTCATATTATGCCCGTGCATTATGCAGGATTAGCAGCATCAAAGGGAGGGAGTAGGGTTAGCATTAATAAAGGGAAGGAATGTTAATGGTATATAGCTGCAGCAACTAAACCACCACGTAATTTTATTTTATTATTTTATTATTTCCCTTCTACGTGACTTTACCGAAAGAACCAAGAAGAGGTTGCTACTCGCTAACAGCACTTGCCCCAACAGTCTGTTGAGGCTACACGGGGGATCTTTGTATAAATGATAGTACTGCACGTGCATTCGGTGTGTGCGTGTGTTCAGAAGCTGATGAAATGCCTCGCACTGCTGCTGTGAAGGATTCTTTAATATTCCCATCGTCAATTCATTACCGAGGTCAGATCATTGTGCCGAGCGATGCATGTCCATGATACCCTCCCAGTCGAATATGATCGCTATGGGGAGTGGTTAGGGGCCGTCCATAAATGACGTCACGCGATTTGTACGATTTTGACCCCCCCCCCTTCGTCACACGCGTCACAAAAAGTCCCCCCTCAAATATGACGTCATAAAGCTCTGCCCCCCAAAAATAAAACATGCTTCAAATCGCTTTTAAAATATTGTCATTGTAGTGCGTATTTAATGTGGCGCTGCACTCTAATGTTGTAGGAGAAAACTTTTATTTAAAAGTATATTTAATTAAGTAGAACGTGTTGTCTATATTTATTTAAATTTGCGCATTTTGATGTGACGTCACATTTCTCAACCCCCCCCCCTCGTCACACATCGTCACAAATGTCTGACCCCCCCCCCCCCTAGGTGCGTGACGTCATTTATGTACGGCCCCTTAACACAACAGGTACCTCTTTGTGAAAATGAAGACAAAAAAACACCAGCGGTCATTCTTTTGAAGGTCTTCGAAACCTCCCTCTCCTCCCGCTCCCGTCATAGGAATGTGGAATTTCCACCACTTGCTCAAGCAGTGGAAGCAGATGATCGCTGCTACCGAATTACAGCAGGGTGACACAGTAAAACTTGAATCCTATGACCATTAAAAGTACTGTAATAGTATGCACGTACAAATGTAACATTTTAACAAACTACCTTCACATTACAATACTGTAATATATTTAAAGTTTATATATAATATATGGCACTTATTATTCGTTTGAGATACGACTGTCAAAAAGTATTTTTTGTTTGTAAACAGGATATTAACAGTACTCACAGACTCACACGTATGACTTGTTTATATGCATTTTGCCCTCCCCCCCCCCCGGCCATAGCAATGTGGAATTTCCACCACTGGTTCAGGACCCCCAACTCGTTCGACTCTTGATCAGCGGTGTAAATAGTAAGCATCCCTCCAAAAAAGTATTCCGTAAAATATCGGCACTCCAAGTCCATTTCTCGTGCTGCTTCGGCGGTGGGGAGGGCATGATTATAACTCAATAATAAATTGCCTTTTTTTAAAACACTGTGCTTGAATGTAGCGACCTCTAGTGGCTGCGTGGGTCACGTTAATCAATTTACATAAAAACGAATGCGAACGAAACACTTTTGAGTCTGGTTCAGTG